GATGATGATGATGATGGAGTTAAATTTGGGAAGAGTAATGGTGTCAGACAAGAATTAAATTGAAATGACAGAAGAGCTATGTGAAAGGAAATGGGGAGGGAAAATAATCTAAACAATGCTTTTCAATGATTTAGTATCCTAGAGGAACAAGGCATAGTGTAGTGGTTAGAACTAGAGTCTAAAAGTGTGTCTATATTGCAGTGAAATTGGTGGCCACACCCCTCAGGTAGTCACCCCCTCCAGCTTTTATCTTCATGTCCATGAAGATGTAGCAACACAAGCTTCGGCGTGGGCTATACAAGCCTCTTGAGAACTCTAGATATCTACTCATGTTGCTAGCCTGTTCCAGGCTTTCTCCTGCTGTGCCCGCACTGCTATTTTAGTGGTGCTAGCTAGATTAGTCAAAATAGCAGTTTGCCTGTATAAACGCTATTAAAGTTAATTGGAAATAACAGTCGTTATTTCAAATTCACTTTACAGTGTAGACATACCCCAACAGATAAGACACGATTTCCCTTTACAGAAACCATGTTGACTTTTGTCCAACAAATTATGTCCAACAAATGACTCCAAGATCTTTCTCTTGAGTAGTTGTAGCTAAATTAGTCCCCATTATATTGTGTGTATAGTTCATCCATGTGTCTGACATTTTTATTCTTTATTATAGTTTCAACTAATTTGCTCGGTACTGACATTAGACTTACAGGTTTGGGAATCTGTCCAATATCCCCAGCTGAAGCAAATTATTACCTTTTAAGTTTCTGACTAGCTGCTCTTCAAACTCCTTTTTGGCTTTTATTATGCTAGCCAATTAGCCCATCAGACGGGATTTTCAGGTCTCTCTCCCCCTTCTTCACCCCCCCTCCTCTCTCGCTCAGCTCTCCTCCATCTCCTGCCTCTCTCTCTCTTTCTCTTCTCCTCCCCCTCCTGTCTCTCACTCGGGGGAGTGCAGAGCCCATTTGGGCCCCACCTTCCCTGTGCTAGATCCCATTTGGGCCCCACCTTCCCTGTGCTGCATGGGGAGCGCGGAGCCCAAACAGTCGCTTGTGCCACTTGCTCCCACGTGGCAGCCCAGTTGAGCGGCGCAGAAGTCAGCCGAGCGCCACTGTGGGAAATGAAAGGGGGTGGGGCAGTGACATTCACGGCCAGGGGGCGGAGCCTAGAGCTGCTGTCATGCTGCACCTGGCCCACGAAAGCTCATCACCTAATAAACCATCTTGTTAGTCTTTAAAGTGCTACATTGTCCTGCATTTTGCTTCAGCTACCCCAGACAAACACGGCTACATTTCTATCACTGTTGTGAAAGTGTTTATGACAATAAGTATCATATAGATAGTAGCCCAATGTCTGTGACTCTGTAACGCTGTAGCATTACAAGCACTTCCCAGCCCCCTCCTTCGCCTCCCGCTGTGGCGCTCAGCTGACTTCTGCGCCACTCAGCCAGGCCGCCGCGGGGGAGCAAGTGGAGCAAACGGCCGTTTGGGCTCCCTCACAGTGGCCCAGCTGAGTGGCGCAAAAGTCAGCTGAGCGCCACAACGGGAGGCGAAGGGGGGTGCAAAGGGGGGTGGGGTGGTGACGTACATGGCCAGGCCACGCCCCCTGGCTGTGTACATCACCGCCCCGCCCCCCCCTTCCTCTCCCTCCATGGTGCTCAGCTAACTTCTGTGCCGCTCAGCCGGGCCGCCGCAGGGGAGTGTCAGCCGACAGTCAGGGCAGTGTGTGTGTGTGTGTGTTTTAGAGAAAAGGTTTAACGTCCGTGTTTTTACTGCTAGGACCGGGGTCAGCCGAGCGCCACAGCGGGAGGCAACAGTGCCACCGAGAGGGAACAGCCAGCATTTCACAGTTACAGAGTCACAGACACTGGGCTACTATAGATATGATTTTTACACTTAATTTGAAAAAGTTCATGCTCCTATTTTCCTCACAGGATTTGACTTCCACTTTTTAAAGCATCTCTTTTTATCTCTCGCTGCTTCTTTTACTTCGTTGTTAAGCAATGGTGGCACTTTTTTGGTTCTCTTATTGCATTTTTTTAAATTTGGGGTATACATTTAATTGAAGAGGACATCAGTACAAGAATACAAAAGGCGCAACAAGCCTTTGCCATACTATGACCAATCTGGGGTGCAAGAGCCATTTCAACAAGAACCAAACTATGTATTTTCACTTCCAATGTGAAATAAGTGCTGCTGTATGGCTCGGAGGCGTGGCGCGTTGTCCAGAGCAACACTAAGAGAATTCAGAGGTTTGTCAATAAATGCCTTAGACACATTCTCCAGCTAAAGTGGTACGACAGAATGCCAAATGAAACCTTGTGGACCAAAACAAATCAGAAACCAATGGAAGTTCAAATTAAGAAGAGAAAATGGCGAAGGGCAGGCCACATCCTGCGTAAGGACCGTGAGGAATGTATCATGAGACAAGTGTTAGAATGGAATCCAAAAGGAAAAAGGAAAAGGGGACGTCCCAAACAAACACGGTGACGAAGCTTCCTGGACAAAGTAAAAGCAGCTGGCTTAACGTGGGATCATGTCAAGACTATCGCTAAGGATCGCAAGAAATGCAGAATGACTATGGAGGCCTTATGCTCCATTAGGAGCCCAAAGGACTAATAGATTAATAGATTTAACTTGGGCCTCTATTATCGTGTTTTTGAAAAGTGTCCATGCAGCTTGCAGGGATTTTACTTTTGTCCCTGTACCTTTTAATTTCTATTTAATCTCATTTAAATAGAAATTAGACACTTTATGAAATTAAATGCCACAGTGTAGGGCTGTTGAGGTGTTTTTTCCACCACAAGGATTATATTTATGGTCACTATTTGCAAGTGGTCCAGTTATATTTATCTCTTGGACCAGATTCTGTGCCCCACTTATGACTAAATCAAGAATTGCCTCTCCGCTTGTGGTTTCCAGAACCAGCTGCTCCAAGAAGCAGTCATTAAAGGTATCAAGAAATTTTATCTCTGCATCCCGCCCTGAGGTGACGTATACCCAGTCAATATGGGGTAAATATTGAAATTCCCTACTACAGGGGTGGCCGAGTCATAACAGATGAAGAGCCAAAAAGGGAAAAAAGTTGTTGACCCTCCCCCCCAAAAAAAGGGGAGGAGGTGAGGGCCTAGCCAGTGCCCTTTAAAAAGTGGAGCAGGCATTGCCCTTTTAAGGCAGCCATTTTGAAAACTGCACAGGACGCCACGACTCGGGCTCTGTCAGACAGAAACATGCTGACCCTTTCAGAGCCTCGAGCTGCGGGTGCAATTTTTTATTTGAAGAGCTGCATGCAGCTTGCAAGCCACAGGTTGACCGCCTATGCCCTACTATTATTGAGTTTTTTATTTTGATAGCCTCTCTAATCTCCCTCAGCATTTCATAGTCACTATCGCTGACCTGATCAGGTGGTCGATAATAGAGCCCTACAGCTATATTATATTTTAAGAGTTTGTTTGGGTAATTTGCTTGTGCAAAATAAAGTCATACTCTGCAATTACCTACAGACACTAAATTTTTCACAAACAATCTTGCCTCTTAAATTAGCTGAATGCACTATTTTACAGAGGAATATGCTGGGTGAAAGGTTTAAATCAATGTTTCTCAAATGACAAACCACAGCCAATGGGAGATGTGAGGCTCCATGGCTGCAGAGCCAGTAAAGAAACAAACCAGAGCAGCTCTGCCCTTCACTCTGCGCTCCCAACCACACCGACACG